TCTTGTGGACACCTGGACTGGTACATGATACTGGAATGGCAAACTGAAAAGGACGGAGCTTTAACCCATCACAATTCTTTTGTGAAGATCTTCATTTAAGATTGATTAAATCAAGCATAAAACATGATTGTGACATTTTTTAAAAGGACCATGTGAAAGATTATTGCTGCTGATAAAATAATGGACAGGCCAACCACTAAAAGTGAAGAATGCTTCCACTGTATACCTCTTAGAAATTGAGGGACTGTATTCAAGGGAAGATCTCTTTATTGCCTCTATGGAGCTTAGTTCCCTTTATGGAAGCCTAACTGAATGTGTACTTACTTTGCATATAATGACAAATGACCAAGGGCCACACGTAGACATAAAGATCAGATAGGCAAATAGGGACACACAGAGTAAAAGAGTGACAGACTAATTTGAAGATGGCATTGAGCAGGTCAATAAAAAAGTCTAACTCTTAGTTTTTGTTCTGTCTTTTTTGTAGTTAAGCATTTAATAGTTCATTTGGTGAACTTTAATAGATCATGCAAACCCATGATTTTGCTTGATTTGCTTTGATTTTGCTTGATGTAATGAAGGGTTTTCAAATCAGTTTCTTGAAGACCGACCATGACCCTAATTTGGAATGAGAGAAGGTGATTTGTTCAAGGTCACCCAGTTGGCTTTCATACTACAGGAGAACTAGAGCCTCAATCTCCATAGTCTTACTCCAGAATCTTAACCACTATACTACACCGACTCACTTTTACCTATTATATATAACAGTTCTACCATTTAAAGCCTTCTCCCGTTGAAAATAGCATGTGTATACATGTGATGTTCCCCCCTACAGGTAGCTACTACCTTCCATTCTGTAGCAAGCCATCTGGAGAAACCCGGAAACTATATCAGGATGCTTTTCATTGACTACAGCTCGGCCTTTAATACTATCCTGCCGAGCGTCCTTATCGAAAAGCTGACTGACTTGGAGTTTCCATCTTCCATCTGTGGCTGGATCAAAGACTTTCTGACTATCCGGCCACAAACAGTGAGGGTTGGGTCTGTCACATCCACCTCCCTGAAGCTTAGCACTGGCTCCCCACAGGGCTGTGAGCTCAGTCCCTACCTGTATTCATTGTACGCACATGATTGTGATCCATCCACTGTGATCATTAAGTTTGCAGATGATACCACCATATTGGGTCTCATTACACGTGGAGACGAAACAAGCATACAGGGGGGAAGTTCAAAAACGATCCTCTTGGTGCCTGGAAAACAACTTGCACCTGAACATCAGCAAGACAAGGAGATGGTGTTAGACTTCCGGAAGAAGAGAGAGGACCACTTTACATCGAGGGGGGCTGTGTGGAGAGAGTTTCCTCCTTTAAATTCCTAGGAGTCTACCTCAGCGAAGATCTCACCTGGAAAATCAACACAACCCAGGTGGCTGGAAAGGCCCAACAGAGACTCCACTTCCTTAGGGTCTTGCAAAAGAACAAAGTAGAACAACAACTGATTACCTCCTTTTACTGGTCCACTATAGAAAATGTCCTCTCACATTGCATTATGGTATGGTATGCTGGCTTGACAGTCGCGGATGGAAAGACACTACAGAGGGTGGTGAGCATAGCACAAAACACCGTAGGCTGTCCCGATACCACTAGATGACATTGCTGGGGCTCCCTGCCTTAGAAGAGTGAGGAAAATTCTCAGGGACGACTCACACCCTGGTCGCACTTCTTCACTCTTCTACCATCAGGCACATAGCCATAGCCATAGAAACATAGCCATCTGAACCAACAGGCTGAAGAACAGCTTCTACCTGTGGGCTGTCAGACTCCTGAATGGAAAGTAACTTCATGTCAACATAGTATGATAGACTTGTGGGGCTGGCACGCTGTGCAATAAGTTCACATGGTGCAATAAGATAGTGTGCTTGTTAGTAGAATTCACTGGGTTAGGGATTTTTCTTTTTTGTCTTCACTGTGAGTTGTGTTGTGGGGGTGGGGGGGAGTTGCACGAAGGGAGACTCAGCCAATCTCATTGTACACATGTTTGATTTGATCCTCAGTTGATGTTTGGTAGGAGAGTGTTGCTTCCTACTAAAGGAGAATCCTTGCTGCAGTGGAATTCTAATTTTCCAGTTATATTTAATTGGGATATTTCCTCCCAATTTAAATAAATTGATATTTTTCTTTGACCACAAATATGAGATAAATACTCTGGCAAGAACCTCAGTGAGCACAATGGGGCCCATGGCACTGTACTGAAAATACTGGAACTAATAGACAAGAAACATTTGAGGACTAGATAAAAGGAGAAGATACTAACTCTAGGAAGAATATGATGGTGAAGCAGGACTGATAAGTCAACACACCAAGCACTCCTCCACACACTCTGGAGATCCCAGAAGCTTCGTGACAGGCATACCTAGATGATGTACAATTGGCCCATTATGTCAACTTACTAATGACAGAGTTTTTTTATGTGCACAAAGACCAAAAAGCATATTACAAAAAACTTATAGAGAATAGGGAACAACAAGCAAGAGACAGTTTCTTCTGAAAGAAATAAGAGGCTCTTTCAGTAGATAGTAAGCATTTTACTATCACTCCAGATCAAAATCACAATTACCTAAGTCTAAGAAGCCAAAGTAATGCAAGCAGAAATTCTCTTCGTACACCCGCCCCAAACTCAACTGAATACAGAGAAGTATGTTCTACTGAATAAAAATGGACTACTAGGGATGTAACGCTTTTGAAAAAATTAAAGCAGTAGAATAAATCCCATTTTAGTAAATATAGTTTATTCAAACAAAAATGACGTTTTTATTACAAAAGGAACAAAAGCTATTGAACTCTTAAGGAATTAGCATCTTGTTATTTTTGCCAATTTAGGAAAAGAAGATAGCAAACAGAAAACAGAAGAAGTCAGCAGCACAGTATTAAAATTAAGAAAATATGCATTTTACAAATATAAGTTATAATTTCAGAAAAAAGATCACGGAAAGCTCAAAATGCAGATGTTGTCATGTAAAATAATCAGTTTTTCTTTATCTAATACCTCAGTATCACAATTTCTTATAATTTCCAATGTTTTATTTTTACTATTTAATTATTTTATGGACTTCTAAAAGCTAAACCTTAACTATATTGAGAAAACCTTTTTTTGTCATTTACTTCTTGATTTAATTTCGAACACAGACCAATTACTTTTTATTTCAATCTATGTAATTTTGAAAAAAAATATTAAAACTATTTTGTAATTCATTTTCAATCATCTCCAGGTCTAAGCGGAAAAATACCTTAGACAAGGAAAATTATTTTTTTTCCTAGCAAATTGAACAGTTTGAATCAATACCCCAAATTATAAGATATCTCTCACATTAGAAGCCATCCTTTGGAATTAGTACATAATTTTCAAGGGTGGAAGTCAACTTTTTGTGTTTTTCTCTTTTTCTACTTCTTTTCTTTTTCCTTTTTCTTATTTTTGTTTACATGTTTATAATTTTATGTTGTAATAAAATTCTAATGAAAACATATTTTTAAAGAATCGCTAAATAATTTTAATGGACAGATTTAGGTGCAAACTGAGAATTCAAATTTTTGTTGAGTTTTGTATAAAGTTTTGATGCAGCTGTTGGGTACTGTGTCTGAATTCAAGAAAAGTTATCCATGCCCTTTTAGACCAATTTACTTCGCTCCATATGCTGAGGTATTCTTTTATTTGTGTTTTTTTTTTTAAATTAAATTTTAACTATTTCAATAGTTTTGACTTGTTTCATTTTTAAATTTATTGTACACTGCTTTGTGATCCCACTGATATAGCAAGTTCAGAGAAATTGTTTAAATCAAACAAATAAACTGTACAATTTGTTAAATTGTATATGCAACCTTGTTTACATTTCCAAAGCTTTCTGTGTACTTCTGTTTTAGTGCTAAAATGAAACAATACACACCTTTTCACATTACAAATAATTATAAGAAATAATAATTCAAGAAATAATCCTATTTCTCATAAGCCCCACTAATGTTATGGGATTGCTTTGTGACTGGATATGTATAAGATTATCCTTTCTAACTGAACAGAACAGCAGTTAGTGGAAAAATGCCTGCAGATACCAGATAGACTCTGTGTTATAATCTCCACCTTCCATCTTTGACCATCTCTTCATACTAATACCTGGTCTCTTTTAAAAGATTTTAGTTTATGCCAGAATTCTTGATAACTCTTTAGTTCTGCACCTGACTATACCAGTTCATTTTCATCATTTGGTATACATAGAAGTTACTTTATTCACTTTATTTTCCTTACTTTGGTGATTTCCCTTTCCTATTGGTTGAAACAATTCACTGCTTTCTGCAGCTAAGCTGCAATTGGTCAGAGTTTCTGAGCTGCCCCTTGAAAGAGAATTAACCCTGCAGCTGCCAGGTCACTAACCAGTACATTAGAAAGTTGACCTTCCTCCTACTACAATGTACCTTCTGTCCAGGAAGACAGAGAGATACAAAGTTTGCATTTTGAATGAACAATTAAAAAGCTAAAATGCAATATGCAAATCTCACTAGCCATCTGTCAATTTCTGCTTGGGAGGAAGTCCCCAGCACTGCCCAGGAGGCTGCAGGATTTAAAAGCAGCAAAATTTAGAAGCAGAGTCAGGTTGATGAAATAAAACACTTTATTTTACTTAATCATTGAGTCTGTAGCACTGAGACATATCTTATTATTGATGTTGTTGGCCTCAGATCAGATAAATATAATTTTATTTGATTCTAATTGTTTTAATATATCTGCATGTGTGGTTATGTACCATTATCTAGCAGTACAGTTTGGTGGTTTTGTTTTTGTTTTTAATTATTTAACATGTATAAGTAGCATGGATATGGTAAGCTCTATCTTATTCATTGGTTAGTCATAAAAAGTTAGAGTTTAATTATTTACACTTTACTCCTAAACACTTTGCTGAATTGTATATTCATTGCAAAAATGGTTACATATTTAGTCATTAATAGTTTAGCCTAAACTATTCCTGGCCAGGCAAACATTGGTAAATGATAATTATTATAATTCAGATAATTGAGAATGCTTTTTTGTACCATATTATTGCATATACTTTGTTTAAAGGATTGTTTGAGATATGTCTTTGGCCTTTCAAGTAAGGAAATTTCACCTTCTACTATTTGACGCACAAGTTCTTGAATTGAAGGTGTATCTTCTTCCTATAAGCAAGAAACGAGAAAAGTAAATGTCTGAAGATAATCATTAGCTGGATTGAAGTGCTCAGAGCAGCATCACTAACTTCTATCAGCCTAATAAGAGTAATGCACAAGGAACTCACAGATAAATAAATTTACCACCCATTAGTACAACGCTGCACCAAAAAGAAAATTCTGCTCTAAAACCAAAGTCAACCTGGGATTTATTGCTCTGTGTCTTTAGCCGCAGGCTCCCTCTTAAGCCTCTCTTTCACCTTCACTTATTCCCAAAGCCCTGACAACAAATTCAGAGAAGCAGCTGCTCACCACATTCCCTGGAACGCAGGCAGGCATGCCAGTTGATTCTCAAAGTGCTGCCTAGCACATGCCATGTCCATTTCAATAGAATCAGTGTTGACAGAACACTTTTATTACTCACATTTAGGGAAGCCTAACACCAGTCAAAGTGCAGAGTTTGTCGCACAAGTGTGTGATAAAGCGTGAATGTGAGAGAATAATTTCTCATTAATCTATAATGAGAAAGGAAAATGCACACATGCTGCATTCTTATTTCTATTTTTTCTATCCCCATTTTTCTTTCCCAATCCTTTATCAGTTACACCATCTATTTAAACTCACAAGGTTTACTTTTAAGATATTTTTAAAGCACCATCAATGGAGCCTGTACTATATAAAACACACCAAAAATCAATAATATTTTCTGTTCCAAACCATATTAATAGGACAGACTGAAATTATATACATGTATACATATAGCAGTAATGCTCAGATGTACTTGCTTTCCTCAAAATATGAATTATAACTGAGAAATTAAAGATGTGTCACTCAAGGATCGGATTCTACCGGTTCGGCCCAGTTCTATAGAACTGGTTGTTATGGTCCCCAGTAGTTCAGAGAACTGGTAAAACGGTCCCCTGGCTGGCCCCGCTCCTCTGTTCCCAGCCCAGTCAGTTATTATTGTGCATGCGCGACATTGTGTGCATGTGCAACAATCACTGACGGCATTCTCCCCTGCCTGCCCCACTCTACCCACTCCTCCGTTCCCGGCCCAATCAGTCATTATTGCGCATGCACGACATTGCACGTATGCGTGACAATCGTTGACGGAATTCTCTCCCGCCTGCCCCACCTAGTCACTACTTATAGTGCACGTGTGCTATGCTTCCCATTTTCCTGCCCGCTGCCATCGCTTCCAGCACCAGCGGCAGCAGCAGCAGCACCAGCCAGCCATCGCTACCTGCCTTTTGCCACCCTGCTTGATCAAGCCCAGGTCACCACTGCTACTAGCCGCCCTCGCCTGCCCGGACTGCCTCCCAGGCCTACCTGCCTGTCTTGCCGGACTGCCTGCTTTGCCTGGACTGCCTCCCATGGCCGCTGTTACCAAAGACGTGGATTGGTGAGTGAGACCTCCAAGCAAAACCCGGTCACCAACCTGCTGCTACCACCAGCCCCAGTTGAGTCCCGACAATGAGTCCTGGACTGCAACTGCCCTCACCGATGCTGCCTGCCTCACCCGCCACCATCTTCTGCTGCCCACGGCCCTCCATTGTTGCTGCCTGGCCTTCCACCACCAATTGGTGAGTGAGGAGGCAAAGGCAGCAAGCCCCGCCAGTCGCCTACCTTCTTCTGCCGCCGCTAGCCCCGGTCGAGTGCTGACTTCTGGGCCGGCCACCCAGCCATCCTCACGACAGCAAGCTCCAAGAAGACCAAGGAGGACCCTGGCGTAGCTGGCTAGCCAAGTTGCCTGCCTAATTTTTGGTAAGTTGCTTTTTTAAATTTCCTTATGTATTTATTTATATTTTTTAGTATCTGTTTTGGTTTTTATTAATTATAAAAACAAAACAGATACTAAAAAAATAAATACATAAATAAAAATTATTTTATTATTGTTACATGTTGATACTTCTGTTTGTTTCTCCTTTGCCTTTTGCTATTAGGAAAAAGCAAAAGAGAAACATAAGTATCAACATGTAACAATAACAGTAGCGTAACAAAAAAAAATCATTTATGGATTTATTCATATTTTCAGTATCTCTACTGTTTTTATGATTAATAAAAACAAACCCTATACTAAAAATTGTCAGCCTTCAAGATTTCCTTCCTTTGCTTTGCATCTTTCGGCTGTGATAAGTAATGTCGGGGGAGGAGGGGTGAAATAGTTATGGGAAGCGAGCTGGAGATTTGAGAGAATAAATTGTATAAGTTGGGGGGGAAGTTTTTTGTTTATGCTTCTTTACTATGCTATGCGCAAGCACACGTCTTTATCAAAATATGCCAAGGTCAATGGACAGATGCCTCATCACCACCTGAAGAGGCCCACATGACATTACATGCAAAGTTTAACTGGATGGACAGTTTGAACTATTGTGGGTGGGAATGTTGCCATCACTTTGTATATGTGATTTACGCGCTCATTTTCTCAGATTCAGAATTCCTTTGATGCTACCACTTGATTTCCAGTAAAAGATATCTTTAATTAACGGAGTCTAAGTGTTTCTTTCTTGGATTTTGAATGGAGCACCAACTGACATAAATATTATTAAAAATTATTTAAATAAGTTTGTATGGCTGTGAAAGTTGGACCATAAGAAAGGCTGAGCACCAAAGAATTGAGGCCTTTGAACTATGGTGCTGGAGAAGACTCCTACGAGTCCCTTGGACTGCAAGGTGATCAAATCGATCAAATTCTTTACATACAGTGCAGTTCCTCCCCTTCCCTTTTTTAGTTGGTCCTGTTTCTTTTGAACAATTTCTATCTTTCTAGTAGCATATTCCAGTCATGGGTGCTATTCCACCAAGTTTCAGTAATTGCAACAATATCGTATCTGCCTTGAAATACTAGAACTTCAAGTTCTCCCTGTTTGATACCCAAATTTTGAGCATTAGCGTAAAGACATCTAAGCTCATTATGGCTGACCTTGCATTTGTGTTCTATGTTCTCTGTTTTATACATGAGTGTCTCTTCCTTCTCATCACTTCCTTTCCCATTGTCTGATTGTTGACTTGTGGATTATGTTTGGAGTTTGGTCTAAATGATTGGTCTCCCTCACTTTCCAGTTTTAGTTTAGGGTTAGGGTTAGTCTTTGGATGAATTGAGCCAGTTGTTTCTCAACACATTCTTCCCGTTCCTTGTGAGGTATAGCCCATCTCTTCCCTAAAGCCCTTCCTGTACGTAAAGCAAATGATCCAAAATCCAAAGCTAAGCCAGCAGTTTCCTTCTAGAATCCTCCGTTCCATTATTAGATGAATAACAGGAAGAGTGTTTTATATGCATTCATACAAACACTTATTTAAAACATTCCATTCTAATTAATCAAAGTATTTGTGTCTTATTTCTACCTTGTTGAGCAGTAGCCACAATTTGCTGAGTTTTTGGGGGTTTCCAATGATTGCTTGGGTTACATTGTGAACAACCAAATAATGAAATTTCTTTTCATAGTTGAATTACATATTTAGACAGAACTGATTAAACTTGAATGATTTAAAAGATGTTTTGGTCCAATTATATTCTAATTGTTCCTCTTAACTTAAAGCAGTACTCATGACTCACATCTACACTATTATTTCCAAAAATAAAAATAAAAAAGATAGTTCTTAACATAATTGTATTATTTATCATAGAATAAATCGAATATCATAGAATACATTAATTTATAAGGATTTTAAAAAAAGTTTTGAAAAATAAAGAAACCTATTATTTTGAATGCTGTAAAGGTAAAAATGCATCTATGGAAATTCAAAAGAAATGGATGTATTCTTTTGGCAGTTAAAATACAGTATCATACATTTGTAGCGAAGCATTATAATATCAGACCTCTGGTACTTATTGTATTTAATCTGAAGTTTGCAAGACATAGGGCAAGAAGCAATTCACAATTATCTTTGATTTAATTCAAACATACACCTATGCCTCTTTAACATTTTGGATGGCAAATAGTAAAACTAGAGTACATACAGAAAGTTGAGGAAGTTAGAGAATTTCTTGCCATGTAAATTTGTCAACTAAAGGACTCAGCCACAATGTAATATTATAGAAGGGTAAAGAAGTAGAAAAGGTGACTGAGGTTTCTACCAAATTTTCAGTATTTTTAGCTAACAAATGAACAGTCCCAATAATTGGCCTACATACAGATAGTCCTCGACTTACAACCACAACTGAGCCCAAAATTTCTGTTGCTAAGTGAGACATTTGTTAAGGAATGTTGCCCCATTTAATGACATTTCTTGCTACAGTTTTAAGTGAATCCCTGCTGGTGTTAAGTTAGTCACATGGGTGTTAAGTGAATTTGACTTCATTGATTTTAGCAATATCACTTAGACTTACATACCGCTTTATAGTGCTTTAGGCCCTCTCTAAGCAATTTTAGAGAGTCAGCATATTTCCCCCAACAATTTGGGTCCTCATTTTATGCACCTCGGAAGGATGGAAGGCTGAGTCAACCTTGAGCCTGGTGGGATTTGAACTGCCAAATTGTAGGCAGCTGGCTGCAGAAGTAGCTTGCAGTACTGCACTCTAACCACTGTGCCACAGAGGCTCCTATAAATTTTGCTTGTTAGAAGGTCACAAAAGGGGATCACATGACCCTGGGACTCTATGACCGTCATAAATATGAGTCAGTTGCCAACTATCTGAATTGCGATCATATGACCCTGAGGCTGCAACGGTCGTAAGTCTGAAAAACGGTCATAAGTCTTTTTTTTTCAGTGCCATTGTAAATTCGAATGGTCACTAAATAAACCGTTATAACTTGAGGACTACCTGTATTGTCTGGAGAAAGAAATTCCGGGGTCATTTTAAAAATTACCATATATTTGCTTTGGTAATCTTCCAAGTTAGGAAATGTGAGCTCCCTATTTAAAACCACTCCGAAATCCAAGTTTTCTGTATATAGCTATGACTGAGCACCACTAAACTTAAAAAAAGAGACAAGAAAAAAGGAAGGAAAGAATAAAGGCAAAAGCTTGTAATATTTCATAGAGTTTATTTCTAGTTTGATTTTTAC